GATGAGTGATAAGCCCCCTGAATTTCCTGGAATCTGTCTATATGACACACTATAAAAAAGTGAATGAAAATAAAGGCAGGATGCATGGATGTGTTAACCATATTAGAAAATAATTTTATCTTTGAAATAACTAAGTAAAACCTTTAATGTTGAGAATTGTCTCTGTCATTGAGGAGGTATTCCTATAAAAATATTCTGATGCCATCAAATCATTGCTATCTGGCTCACAGGATGTCTTTAAAGTTATTTCTAGTGATTAGATGATCAAAACTGTAAATGTAAAATGTAAAGACCTGACTTTGGCTCAAAGTCTAATCTATAAGCCTATTTGCCCTGGACACATCTGCCTTAATTGGACATAGTGAAAAAGCACAACTTGAATGGAAACTAACTAGTTATGTGACTTATGCTTTCTTGACCAGTTTCATCGTATGTTAGGTGAGAATAAAGATATTATCAGTTCTTCTTGCTTCACAAGATTATTAAGAGCATTATATAAAGAATGTGTATTATAAAGCATTGCATAAATCATGGTTCTCTTATGATTGCTGGTCTATCTTTAGATCTACATGTTTTTAGAAAAAAGTCTGCAACATTTTTAATCACACACAATCCAATTAATTTAAAATAAAATAGTCAAGCAAAGAGGAAACATCTCACCAAAGTCTCCCTTGACCCAAAGATTTTAAGAGAAAGCAAACCAGCTAAATGATGACCAGTTTGTGGGCCTATTGAATCTACTTCCACTGGTGGGAGTGGTAAACCAAGAGTGTGATAAGGACTGATGAGAATGAGTCACAGTAGAAGAGAGGGGACTTGTATTTCTGACATAAAAATAATTATAGAATTTAATTGCTTAGTTAGAACTTTGGTGATTATGTAACGTACATCTGTTCGAGTGCCCTAGAACCCCCCTTAAACATAGTGGGCATTCAGTGTCTCTGGAATGAATGAATTTGCTGTATGAGTAAATCAAATTCTTCAAGGTGACTTACCAAAATACATAATGTAAGTAGAACCAAGACCAAGCCCAAGACAAGAAAATTCCAACCCAGAATTCTCTACATGCTGCCTTTTGTTGATACAGGCTATGCTAGCACTGATTTTAGAAAGATGTAACCGAATGAACTGGGCACCTTAGCCTATTTCTTTTCACTAAGTTGTAGTTTTTCGATTAAATGCTAATAAGATCCAGAATCTGGTAAGAACATCCCTTTTAATTACCATGAAGAGTTGACATCTACAGAGATAAATCTAGATTCGGTAGTTAGGGTAAACGAAAGGTTGGATGTGACAGTAAGACTAGACTCCCCCAAAAGCCTTGATTCTCAGCAGCTGGGAAGGAGCAGTGTCTAGGCTGTAAGATCTACACATGGGAAGAGAACGGTGAGGTCAACATCTCTAGAGTTCAGTTCATGCACATTCTGTTTGACAGTGACTCATGTTCATACTATTTGGTTTTGAACGATTTTAAAAATATATAGAGATACAAATATATAAAATGGAAATTGTATATATATTTATTTTTTAAATGCTATACATAACATTATAGTAAAGTACATCATTACTATTTTTTTTTCTCACAATTGGTGCTATTACTCATGCTCATCCAAGGAGAAAGGGTGCAACAAGCTGTTTTACTCCCAGCAGTAAACATTAACGGGAAAGACTGCCTGTATGCTCAGCAATGAGAATCCACTATCTTATCGATAGTTCAGTGCAACCAGTGGGGTTATGCTTCACTTTATGCCACTTATTTACTGCCTGACAACTTTTCTTGAACCATAAAACTGTACAGGTGACAATCCTAGATCTGTCTACCACAAAGAATTAAAAAATCATATAGTTTTGGAAATTAGTAAATACTTAGAGCTGATTGATAATACACCATATGAAAACTTACTGTAGTACTGAGAGTGAAACTTGCAGACTTACTTTGTGTATTTGAAAAAGATATACTGACAATTAATGAGCTAAGCATGAAATGCAAGAAGTTAGAAGACTGCATAATTAACACAAAGAAACTAGAAAGAAGAAAGAAAATTTATAGTAAGAGCAGATATTAAACATAATAGAAAACAAAGATGCAATTAGATAAAGCCTAAAGTTGTTTCAAACCTCTGGAAAGCTTGATCAAGAGAAAAAAATACAAAACTAAATAAAATAAAGAATGCAAAAGGGATTTCACTACGGATTTAGTGAAGATGAAAAACATATTTAACAACGGGATGGATTACCTAGCAAATTGAACACATGCATGTCGTAAAACCAGCAATTCCACTGTGGTACAATCTCCAGAAAAACTTGCACACATATCCCACTCAAACATGTCCAGAATTCAGCCTTTGAGGAGGAATAGAGAGGTCTAGATTGTTCTGTGGCAAAGGATGGTCTCTCCTTGGTGACTGCTCCTTAGAATTGGAGTTGATATAACAGCAGAAGCAATTAGCCAAAGTTCTGGGACTACAGTGCCCTATGGTTGTAATGGGTAAGTGCTAACTTGGCCTCCCAAGAGCTTGGAAACAGCAGGAAAGGGGGCTGCTGTACACTGGAAGGAGGAAACCCTCAAGAGTGCTATTTTCTGAGTCCTCCTCTTTGGCAAGGTGAGAAGTGGCAAGATGTTGAGACAACAGTCATCACTGCACTGCTGTGATTTAGGTTGAGGAACCATGTAAGCACATTTCCTACTTGAGGATTTGTATCCCAGAGATGGAGTAGCTACGGTTACACTTTTGTATATAACGGCAGAAATGCTACGCGCTGTTTGCAAAGGTGTCCTTTCCTCCCTGTAACTTTACTGAGTAAGAAATTACTATTTAGCTACATTTTGATGAAGCAACAAAGACAGTGTGTCATTGGTGTGCTGCCATTCTAAGAGCAGATTTTTGAAATCTGTATCTTCTCCCTTTAAGGATAAGATGACGTTTATTTTTTCAGGGCTTTAAAACCTTTTTCTCAGTCATCATTTCATATTGTGGACTACCACTCAAAATACACCATAACTCTTACACTGCAAGAAATTCTGCAAAAGGTGGACTATTCTCTTGTATGTGAGATTGAAAATCCAAAAAGTTTTGCAAATTTCTACCAGAAACAATATCATCTCTTCTAATAGTGCACAAGCAATTTTTTTCTCTACTCTGCAGTATGGGTGTTAAGCTGCCTAATTGTAAAGTCCTTGATCTTAGCTCCTTCCTTTAGCACTTAATTGATTACTACCCTCAATGACTTTATAGACTTTCTTTGGATTTTTTGCTAGGTAGGTATTTATTTACTTTCTAAACTCAAAATTACTTAGAGACTAATATAAACTGCAGTTAGGTATTTATTTACTTCCTAAACTCAAAATTACTTAGAGATAAATATAAACTGCAGTTTGTCAGTTTTGACTTTTTTAGTTAAAATGTTGCTATTGTTAACACATTTTTTCTTTTCATTTCGTGTTCAATAAATAGTTCTATTTGGGGTATAGATGGCAAATTCAATTCCTCAGCTAGACTTAGAAGAACAATGTAGCATATAATGTTCTGACAAATAGGGCCATGAAATTTAAAAATGATCTTTAAGAATAGGATATTTTTCTCAAAAATAGCTTAAGGGAAATTATTTTCATAGTTCCAAATCTTAAAGCATCCCCAGCAAATAAATGGAGTTTGACATATTCTACACATGTGTAGATTTTTATAACTTCGTTTGTAAATCTGGAAGATCTCCTGAACAGCAGAGACTTTCAGGCAAAGGCTAAATGAAACCTTGATGAGAATATTATAGATAGAATTTAGGCATCAAATGTGTGATTCAGTTAATGATCTTGAAAGTCACTTCCCTCCCTGAGAATTTCTATCGTTAGATTTATTAGCATAGTGGAGAATTAACTTGAGAACCTGATGGTCTACTTTGACTTACGAATTTAGAAGACTTACTCATACAAATACAGTTTTTTTTTCCAGATACCCTATTAAAATATTATTATAAAGTTAATTGAACAGTAACCCTGTACAAAAACAGTATTAAATTTAATTTGCCTCCATGACCACCACATTGTGGACACTCTCTTTCATGTGTGGGTAAAATGAACTATCCTGTTTTGAGCTGGTGGGCAAGAGAGCCCCCTTGAAAGACCCTGATTGACCGGATCATTCAGTCAGCTGTGGTAAACCCTTCCTGTTAGTGAGGAGAGGTAGTTTGGCAGTTAACTGCAGGTGCCTGGGAACCTAGCCTCCATCCCTGCCTCTGATTCTGCAGGTGGGGTAAGTCTTTCATACCTTCCTGGGTCTCTGATGCGCCTTCGCGGGCAGACTGTTTTAAAATCTACCTCACGATGACTGTGAAACTTGTGCATCTTTAAAAAATAAACTGTGATATCTGGAGAAGTCAGTTCTCCCTTAAGGGAAAAATTTCATAGCTTTATGTTTCAAGTTGGACTCAACTTGAGTTGTTAACTACTGCGGCATCACTGAGTTTTGGAACAGAGCAATTGATTCAGGATAAACTATTTCAAATTTTAAAAAACAATTAATTTACTTTTCCTCTCACCCACAGGTCTACCCACGGATAGCGCCGGCATTTTGGCACTACCTGCGGGTAGAAGTGAGTAGCGGGTACTTGAATTCTCCCACCCCCGCGCCTCGCACTCCGCCCGTGTGGTCTGACCTGATGCGCACATTTTGCTCCTGGTGCAGCTGCCATTCTGTGTGAACGTGCTTTCACGCCACCACCATTCCTTAGAGTTGGATCAGAAATCCAAATCACCAAAACTCCTAAGTGCAAGTTTATATAAGATAATCATCTCTCTTACTAAATTTCTGAATCAAGACCATATCATATGCATCATAATGATAAATAACTAAATGCTAAATTTTGGAAAACCATGCTCACACCTCTCTCTAATCAATATTTTTTATATTCAGAGCATAATTCCTCAGCTTAACTTGAGACTGTTTCTAGGAAAAAGTGGAATAATTCTGCTTCATTTCCTTTCTCCTCTTCTCTATCCCCAGGAGCATGAGCAGCTCACCTACTCCTCCACGAGGTCCAAGGCACCCAGTGTCATCATCACAGGCCTCAAGCCGGCCACCAAGTACATATTTCATATCCGAGTGAGGACTGCAACAGGATACAGTGGCTACAGTCAGAAGTTTGAATTTGAAACAGGAGATGAGAGTAAGTTTTACACAAACATATAAAATAAGATGTTAATTTAGTACTATTCCAATCTGACCTGATAGTTAAAAATCTAATGTCCCCAGTTGTGAATAGTCTCATCAAACAGGATTCTGTTCATGTAAATACTCATAGAGTCATTTAGCTTAATGTTTTGGTGCTATCATTAAATACCTCCATGAAATGCCTTACTCTACCACAATTGTAGTGTGGCCCAAATACATCTCTTTATGCAGAATTCATCACTCATGCTATAACATAGAGTCTCAATGGGCAGTGTTAGCCTAATTGCTTGCTAGTCTTGGCATCATAATATGGTACTAATGAAAACTTGGAAGAGAATAAAGCCATGAGCAAATGATTTTAGCAGTTAGTTCAAAATTGTGCAGCTTTGGCTTGTTAGATCAAAAAAAAAAAAAAAAAAAAACAGTGGTCAGGAGAAAAACTCCACTAAAATGTACATTATAAGTTTAAATATAGACACATGGGCTTAATTAGAAACTCAAATTAGTTCCATAGCCTTGATGTGTTGAAAATCAAAATGGGAGACGAAGGGAGTGAGGTGTTCCAATGTCATGTAACAAAGCCTTTGAAATGTCTTATTTAGTCTGAATCCTGCTCTACCATTGAATTCGTTTTTTTGCTTTTAGAAATCTATCTTACTGCTAACTTTGTAAAGATAATATGGGTGGCTTTTGCAATGTTCCTCTATGGAAAAATGTCCAAATACCTAATTATAATAAAAATATGTCCCCATCATTGCTAAAATACCCATATTTATATAAGAATTCAAGAATAGTAAATATATTATAAAAATTCTTTATAAATAACAATAATAGCTACCATTTATTGAGCTTCTAATAAGTGCCAGAAATTATGTATTTTATATATATTATTCCATTTAAACCTTTCAACATCCAATAACACCAGTATGATTTTTCTAATTTTACTCATGAGAAAAGAGAATTCTAGAGAAATAGAGCTATTTGTTCAGATATATGCAACTAGTAAGAAGCTAAGCTAAAATTTGAAACTGAGGGCTACCTTTTTCCAAGGCCTGTGCTCTGAACTACTCCACCATCATGCCAAGTTCTTTCATTTGAATTATTAAAAAGTGCTAATGGTAAGATCATGAAACAGGCCACAATTCCTCTAGTTTGTCACTCCCCCAAAATGAAGCTGTTTGGATTTCAAATTCTGTGATGGAAGGAGTGTTGTCGTTTTTACATTGATGAACAGTATCAATTCATAAGATGCCCTCATTGCAACTATATCTCACTAAAAAGTGGAAGAGTACCAACATAATTAAGAAGGCACACAGCTTAGGAAGAGAGAGTAAACTAATGAATAAAAAGAACACTTATAACCTGGATGTGTAATATCAGTGATGATCATTTATAATCCTGCAGGAGACTATTGGCTTCTCAAGCTAGAGATGAAATTATTGGTAGTAGAGTGTAATTATCAAAAAAACATAGCTCCATAATTAAGAACAATATAAAAATATTCAAAGTGCCATCCCTGCTATGTCCTGCTGACTCTTTCTCCCCTGCTCCCATGTCAAGACTTTGCCTTCACGCAGAGCCAGAGGATGCAATTCAAGGAAAGTTTGGTCCTGGGAAGAGTCCTGTCACTGTGTTGTTCTGGCTGTGTACCGCATCCCTGCATCTCACTTCTCTTACTTTCGTTCACAGATGAAGAAATTTATCTTTTTTAAAAGTATGACATTTTTGAGTATTACATCATTAAGTCAAAAATATATTCTCAGACAAATTTATAGGGCTAAATCTAGATAAGTCATTTGTGTTTATCTGGGACTTCTAGAGAAAACAACCTAGTCTAATTAAAAAAAAGTTCTGATCTAAATATGAAAAAATTAATTTGGTTTAACTCTAAATTTCAACTCATTGTACTTTCAGGACTAGAATTCTTTCTGTTACAAAAAGATACATACTTTGAAATTCCTTATCAGAAAAGGTCCCATGCTCACCAATGACCCAGTATAATATTTATTCATCCAACAAAAATGTATAGGACACTTAATATGTGCCATACTCTGTGTGAGGTTCTGGGGATTAAAAAAGTAATAATAAGACCAACAGCCTTCACATAATTCATAGTCTAGATTTGTGGGAAGAAAATGAAAATTTAAATAAAAAATACAAGGTTAGTGACATGTACTATCATACAAATATGCAAAGGGTGCTCTAAGAGCATAGAGAAGAAATCCTAGTTTAGCATGAATGGGTCATGAAGGGGTCAGTTGGAAGGTGAGAAGATGGGGCTCATTCTTGAAAGAGGAGTAGTAAAAGAATAGCAAAAACACTGAGGCCTGAGATAGCATGAAAAATTTAAAGAACAGAAAATAATTTGGTGTGGCTGCAGTGAGGAGACAAAAAGGTGAAATGGTGGGAACTGAAGGAAGAGAGTTAGAAAGGGCCAACATGAAGGTGCTCTTTTGGCCCCGTGAAAGATATTGAGCCTTCTGATGATACTGAGGAGCTGGGAGAGGGTTTTGATTAGGGAGTAACATGACCAGTAACAGGTGCAAGACCCCCTACTGAGCAATTTACACAATTCATCTTTTTAATTCTGACAAGATTATTTCTCCTTTTAGAAACATAAGTAGCTTTACCAAAATCTGGTAATCGGTGAGTGGAGGTGCAGGATTAGAACCCTAAAACCATCTGACAATGACCACAGCAGACAGCAAAAAACATGTTCTGAATCACTGATTCGTAAATGACATGAAAGACAGAATGTCTCAGAAGAATCTGAAAAATGTGTTTGTCTAAACCTGGAATTTGGGTAAATAGAATGGCTCCCAAGTCAATTTACAGCCTAGAGGGAAAATCATTTAAAGGATCATTTTTTATCTGGTTAGTTTTAAATTGCATTTTCAAAGCATGCTGTTTATATCCAGAAGAGAATTTCAGTGAATGATGTCGTAGTAGGATATGGTCAGGTTTACTATAAATTTCAGGTATATAATGATATGAATTCCAATCTCCAGCATCAGTCTTTTTCTCTTCATACCCTCCTAGCTCATCTTTTAATTTTTATAGCTTTTGTTTCCTGAGTAATACCTGAACTAAGTTCTCTCTTGTGCATTCTATTTAATTAACTTTACAATATATGCATAGAGATGGGGGTGGGTTGGGGAAGAGAGATGAGGTTCTCTCATTTGATGGTCTGATTCAATTTTTTTTTTTAAGTAAGCAAAGTGAAATACTTTACAATTTAATTCTCTCTAGCCATATCTGTTTTACTTGCTTCAACTTTTAGTTTGCCAACAAGACAGTAATATAAAATATGAAAAAACTCCTTTTCAAAATCATAGTATTCTGAACCCACAAATGTTCTACAAATATAGTGGCATCTGAATAACAATCACAGTTACTGCTCTTGCTCTTCCAGACCAGCAATTGGATTTTTTTCCAGAGTCAGATTATGTAGTGGAAACTGGCTAAACAAATGTAGAGATCAGTAATTATGATTGCTAGCACTATGAAAAGAGCCTACTTGGCCTAGACCTGTTGGTTTCTGCTCTCCCCAAGTCTACAGAATAACCTCATTACATATGTATATATGGAGAGATAAATAGATGACAGATAGATAGGTAGATATAGGTAATTAATTGATTGATAGATATATACATGAATAGGTAGATAATCACTCCTGTATAATCACAAAAGACTTTTCTGTTTTAATGCTGGTATTTCATATGTCTGCTAATCTCTCTTTGACAAAGAATGTACAACTAAATATTATGTCCACTAACAGCATTTACTGAGTACCTATTGTATACTGGTCTTTTTATCAGGTACTGTAATTGATTCTCCCACCTTTTTAGAATAGATATAACAAAATTACAATAAACTACAGAATCAGTAGTAAGAAGGTAAGAATATATAAACATTCCATGTGGATCTTCTTGAGACAGGTGAAAGATCAGTGTCAGAAGCTAATATAAGAATTTTCTCAGTATTAAAGTGAAATTCATATTAGGCGCAAAACTATCAAACACACCCACACAGATTAAGTACAGAACTTTTTGGCTTATATGAATGAAACAATAGGAAATTTTAACCACCTTATATTTATTATAATTTTGTCCTTATTTTCTGGAGAAAATGTGCTTCTTTTCAATGGAGAAAAAAATAACAATTAAAATTAAAAAGTTATCTACATAGCCAGTACTATCCATATCCTTGCAAACTTCTCAAAAAAGATGTTTGGTATAATTTTTAGCAATAATAACATTACACCTACATTTTTTTAGAAAAAGAAATAAAAATAATTTAAAGAAGGAAGTTAAACATTTGGTTATTTAAAACACCAAGACTTTTTTATTTATTTTTTATTTATTTTATTTATTTTATTTATTTATTTGAGAGAGATAGAGAGAGAGAACTGGGAGGGTGGGGTGAAGGGGGGAGAATCCCAAGTAGACTCCCCACTGAGCACAGAGCCAGACACAGGACTCAAACTCAGGACCCTGAGATCATGACCTGAGCTAAAATCAGGAGTCAGATGTTTAACCGACTGAGCCACCCAAGTCCCCTAACACATCAAGACTTACCTAATATTCAAATGTATTTTAGAGTAGCAGAAAGTAATTTCATGTGTATATCTTTTAAAACCAAATAAAATATATCCTTCTATATTGCAGCCAACTTGAACATTTTACTTAAACACTGGAAGTGAACTTATGAAGCTATCAGAAGGGTGCAGAATCCATAGCTTAAAGCCAATTTTTGAAAGAAAGCTGGAAATTTACACGTAGTAATTAGCAGTTTACCTCTCCCATTGCTTTAATTGTTATCCAAAAGACCCAGAAGAAGTATACATTGCCAACATGGAAGCAGTACATTCTTTTCCCCTGGAAGGATTAATTATACATTAAATTTTAGCAACATACAAACTTAGGTTTTTACCTATAAGCTACATAAAGCACTTTTGTAACATAAAAGCCACATCTGTCAACATTTTAAAATGTA